CCGAGTGTGGGAGAACAGCTCTTGTGGGGGCTGGGCAGTTTGCTGTGATGAAGGCAGGTGGGGAATCTTTACTGCTGAGCTCTCTTCTGCTTCCTGACAATTTCTTTGGCCCTAAGAGTTGTGAAAACTGCATTGGTTTCTAGACTGGTTAGGCACCATCTGCACGTCCGAGTAAAAGAAATTTTCCTTAATGAAGCAGTGAAGAGCTATATGAATAGGTATAGAAGACTTGTTTTGCTTTCATCATTAAAAGGATACTTAGCATGAAAATTCCTTCTCATTTTTTTCCATAATAGCCCAGTGCTTCAAATAATTGGCAGATGGTTTTCCCTGTACTGGAAAATGTTGCTGTTTATAAGTCTGCAGGGATAATTGAGAGACTGAGGGTTATTAAGATGGCAGAAAATTTTCAGTTGGTCTTACGGTTCTGTAGGAGCACCGCAAGGGCCTTGCAGTAGGGATGTTGTGTAACTTGGCATGTGAGGAAGGACCAGCAGCACAGAAACCTAGCAAGGTATTTGGAGCTGATTCCCAGAGCAGCCTAGATGATTTGAAATACTAGTTCTGGCCTTGCAGAGGCTGAGGTCCTCCAACTATTTTTGAGTTAGGAACAGATAGTGATCACCAAGATAAAGCCTAGCTCAGAATGAAGCTTGCAGATAGAATGACTACTTTATACCCACAATAAACTGTTTGAGTGTTTTAAAAAAATAATAAATAAAAAATCCAGGTCCTGTAGAGCAAACTCCTTGAAACGGTTTCCCTGAGGGAGATGTCCACCATCTGGTTGCAGCTGATTGTAGTTGTACATCACTTTCCTCTTTGTCTGAGGAATGGAATAGATAGTAGTAGCTGCTTCGTATCTCTCTGTGGAGAGCATCACGTATGAGGAGCTGTAAGAGGTCTGGTGGCTTTGGGCCAGGTTGGTGAGTTAGAGTATTAATCTAATGCTTTCCAATGGCTCATTAAAAAGGGTAAGTAGGAAGGGAATTAAGTACTTTGGACTTGTGAAGGGCAACTTTATGCAGACAAGGAGAGATTGTCAGGGAGTGATTTACTGTTGCCTTCTGATGCCTTGTAACTGAGTTGTGTATTGGCAGGAAGAAGCATGCAGGCATGCAGGCAGATTCCTTAGAGCCTGCCTTTCTTGAGGAAGAAACAGCTTACAAACTGTGCAATGGCACTTCCAGGAAAATGCAGCTCTACCTTAGGTCAGCTCCAGTTAATGTCACTGACATACCTGTTGTTTGATCCTGTAGCTATCAATGCAGGTTTCTTTTCAATCTTTCCTCTTTTAAAGCTTCCCTTTGGTATAAAGAAGCAAATTCTTAATGATGAAGGGGAAAAAATATATTTTTAATGGGAGGATTATATACACCTGTGAAAGCAGCCTTTCTAATTAGTGCAGAATATTCTCTCTGATTGTGGAGAATTTCAGTCCTGAAGCAATTTGACTGTGGCTGATCTATAAACGCATTGTCAAGTGTCTGATACCTGAATGAGGTTTATGCTATAAATGGTTGTAAATTACTGAGTTTGTCTACATATTTAGTCTGAATGTGGAGGGCCAGATATTTATTTTGCATATCTTCTAATTGTTCCAGATCTCATTTGAAGTTTGACCTCAATATTTTTTTTCTATCACATTGTGACAAAATTATAGTCGCTTGTGTTTTTATTTTAAATAACACTTAAAAAATGTAGAATAATAATAAAGATAATGTAGAATGGAATAATTTTTTCTCGTTAAAGGAATCTTCACTGTTTCCATGTGCAGAAAATGTTTAATATAGAGAAATGGAATCCCTCTATATTAAAGAAACATTTCATTGTGATTAACTGTTCCCAACAGAAGATGCTGTTTAAGTTTCTTTGGGAAGTTTGTTGCAAGAAAATGCTGATTTCCCTTGAAAACTGTTTCCAGATGTTGCCATGTGGAAGCATTAAGTGGTGCTTGTTTACAAAGTGGTCTTAGTTTTTCAAAGTTTATTTTGCCAGGATGGTGTAATTCAAACTTCGAATGCAGAGCTTTTTATCTGCACATAATTTATAAGTTAGACTGGTAATATTTAGAAGAATTACCTAAGCTTTCAGGCGCACAGCTTTTTTGGATTGAATCTGTAAGCAGCAGGTTCCAAAACTATGTGAAAATTGAATTTTCAAGTCAGTTAATTGAACATCAGTTAGTCTGTACCCTGCCCTGTGATGGCTATGGCAACACAGCGTCATAAAGTGAACCAGAGGTGTTGCAGCACGAGGAATGTCAAAATGGAGATTGGACAAGTGGAGGCTCAAGCACTGCGTGATGGTTCAACCAAAAGGAGCACTCTGAGCAAAGTGGAATTATTTTTGTTCAGGATATAAATGAAGTAATTACATATCTACTCTAACCCGTGCAGCTGTTGCAACGCACACCCACTTTTGCTATGTCTCCTTGACATAGTTTTTGTGAAATTCTGTAGGACACTTGATCCCACTCTCAGACTTCCGTGCCATTGAGGGCTATTTAGCAGAGCTCTCCAGCAAGGTCGGTGAGGAATCCTGCTCCGTAGCTGGCTCTACGTCACCAGCAAGTTCCCAAGATACAGTGATTCACTCGACATCATTCTGGGCAGTTTAAAATAGGAGTGAGCCAGATCCTCCACTGGTACAAATTGGTGTTACTATATTAAATTCAGACGGGCCTAATTATAAGTACTTAAGCAGTTACTGAAGGTTGCACAATCTATTGCTTTTGTTGAGTGTGCTCACCCATAAAAGTGAGGTTGTGCAACTGAGCCCTATATGAATACGTCTCTGTCTCAGCTGCTAATTGAAAACAAACAGAGTAGGATTAATAATTCACTTCTCAGGAATTTCTGTATCATAAATTATGAGGGGAATCTACCAGTTGCATTAAGAAAGATTATTCTGTTGCAAGATTCATAAGTCCCAATGGCAGTGACTGGAGGTCGCTAAACAGGGAGAAATCGGACTTGTGCAGGGTTTTGTTTTTCTCAGTTGCTATGGCTTTCAGGCCTCCTGCAGCATAGAAAGCATTTCCCAAGCCAACACAGAGGAATTTGGTAGCAAAACTACTGTTGACGTAAACAGGGGAGGACAGACTGTTTTGACGCACAGGAAATGTGGCACTTTTCTGTCTGGTACCTGTGCTTTTCAGTTTAAAGACTGTCTGTGTTTTGTAATAGGGGCTTAGGAAACTGTCTTTTCTGTCTCTGGGGAGGAAGTTGCATTCTGTCTTCTTAATTAGTTGGTTGGAAGATGAAAGCAGGTGCCCCGGGGGCAGGGGATTCCAGGAGGTTTGGAATTTTTGAACCAAGGAACTTCTAAGAAATGGCACATTATGAATTCTGATTTATCTGGGCCTCGCTGAATGCTGCCATCAAAGACATTTACGTGGATGCATATCCTGCTCCCATCTACTTAGATGCTGTACTCTGTGCTCTAAAGTACCATGCTACTGATTCTGCAGTCCTGACCATACATATAGAAAGCAATTATGGAGACAAGTCCATTCCTTTTGGATATCTGATGGTGGCTGAGACCTTGGACTTTGTTTTCCTGTGGCTTCCGTGATCACTGCCTAGAAAAGAGTCCTCAAAAATTAAATTCTCTTTTCAAATTGGAGTATAAAGAAAGATATGTGGAGGATTTTAAAATCTGCTCTGAGAGTTAATACAGCAGAGAGGTAAATGCACAGAGAGGCCAGAAGATAGATACTTGGTCCAGCCTTCCTGATAGCTATCCCAGTTGGTACTGTTTAAGCAGCCCTAGAAAGTTCCACTCTTCTGCTCTTCTTCTACAGCTGTTCATCATGGGTGTCAGGTCCAAGAACTGTTGCACTTTCCGTAAGCAGGTGGGTGGGGTGCAACTGACTTGCAGGCAGGAGTCAGGACCTGGACCAACTATGTGCCCCCTCAGCTGGAGCATTGGGTTGGGACCTCTTGGGCAAGCAGAGCCCAAACACTGCAGCCTGTAGTGGGTAGTCAGCTTGCAGCTATTCATCCTGTGTGGCTCACCATCTGTAAGGTCCATTTTTCTTAGGTATCTATTTATCTGGTATTAGAAACTGTTTTTAGTGTTTGTCATTTCTTTCAATATACAACATTTTAGATTCATGGCATGCAATGAGTATACCTGTATCTTCTGTAGAACAATTCATTGTGATCCAGAGACTACTTTGGGGCACGAGTATTGTTTGCGGTGCTACATATAACCCCTGGCCTTTCATCCAGAAACGCCACGCTCCCGTTTGGTGACAGCAAAATGATGTATGTTTGCTCTTTAGTGCGCGGTCTGTAACACTTGTCTCCACGATCTGTTCTGTGCAGCACATTTTACTGTGCATAGTTCCTGTTGCTGGATTTGCATTGTGTCACTGCCTTGCCTCAGGACAAACCTGAATGCAGCACTGCCATAAGTCATGATTTTCAGTTCTGAAATTTCTGAATGTCCTTCCATATCCATCTATCCATCTATGTATCTATAGTTATAGACATTCCTCGTGCAATTATCTCCCTGACAGTGGGAGTTATTTGGACTGCTGTACATGAAGGGCCTTTCTGCACTCAGACTATTGAGCTCTACCCTGAGTCCTTTGTGGCTGTTGTGTGGAAGAAAGATAATGTAGAAGAGGAATGTAGGTATGGAGTAAGACCTTGGAGTATACGCATTGCATGCCATGAAACTAAAATGTTGTATATTGAAAGAACTGACAGGGTTCAAACTGGACATGAAAGTTGAGTTCATGAAACCTGAAGTGCTCCAGCTGCGTCAGGTGTGCTTGTATGCACATGCCATGGGTATTGGTGTATTTTGGGTGATTTGCTAAGGGGACCTATAAAATACTAACTTTTATAACCCTGCCTATTCTTCTTTCTAATCCCTATAAATTCTCACCCCTTCTTCTGTTTCAAGCAAGCATGAGCCAAAAAATTAAAAAATAAAAAAATCTCCTCAACAGGATAGACAGAGGAAAAAAATAAACAAACAACTGCTCATGGAATTTCATCTGGTACTATACAGGAGAGAACTGCGATGGAGGGAGGAATGTTATAGATGTATAGTCACATCGTAGAGCTCATATCTTGTTAGACAGTAAATGCCTACCAGAGCTTTGCAGCTGTGGTTCCTGTAAAATGAAAAAGAAATAAGGATACAAAGTATTCCATGGCAAAATGGAGGTTGGTGGCCCTGCATGTGGCAGGAGGGTTGGAGATTCATGATCCTTGAGGTCCCTTCCAACCCTGGCCATTCTGTGATTCTGTGTGATTCTGATTCTGTGAAAATAGTATGTCACTCAGAAAATCTTTTTTCTTCCCCTTGAAATTAAAAAATGAAATGGTTCTGATAGCGTGGAGCTATCACATTCTCTGCACAGCATTTGCAATTACTGCTGGAAGACTGAAGCACACTGAACTGGTGTAGCTCTAACTGTAGCATGGTCCCATTCTCACTGAAGTACGTTTAAACTATATTTAGTATGTAACTGAGCTGTTCTAACATGGGCTATTAGTCCAAATACTAGTGTAAATGAGGCAGAGAGCATTAAGATGCACTTAAAGATTGTCAAGCAATGCCAAAGAGATCAGACGGTCTTGCTGTGTCTTGTGAAATGGTTCGTATTGCTGGGGGAAAACCAAACCTGTGTAACATTGTGTGGATGTGCATGCTGGTGGGGAACCACATTCCCCTGTCTCCTTCATGCTTCCTCCTCCTGAATGCTCTGTGTCCACAAAGGTGAGGGCACTGAAGCAAGAACTAGCATGGAACCATCAGAAAAGGTTCTGCCACAGAATGAGGCTGGAGGGGTAGAGATGTTGGTGGAATAGCCAATGCTTTGCGCCCATTGTGGGGTGAGCACCCTGCTATACTGGCTCTGCTGTAGAGCATAGCAGGCCTAGGACTTGGTCCTGTCCTTCCCGTGCTGCCAGGGCGATGCAGAGCTGATAAGCCCCTGGTGACAGGAGATGGTACGCATGGGCAGGGAAGGACAGGAAAGTGCCAAACAGAAGGTGTCGTCACGTGCCAGTTTCGTTCCAAGTAAAGCATGTTGTGTATAACCCAGACCTGGACAGATGATAAAATGCTTGTCAGAAGTACGTGTTTTTTGTTAAGCATTGCAAAGTTCCTGGAACATGCTAGCACTGTGTCTGTGGCGCTTACAGAGCTGTATATGGACTATTCAAAATGTTCTGACCATAATACAGTAAGTTTTATATTCCAGCGACAGGATTTTCTGTTTTAAAGCATTTTTCATGCTGTGACAAGCATCAAAAACCTAAAATTATATTAAAACGAATAATTAAAAAGTACAGCAATATTTTGTGATTCAAGAAGTAAGCTTGACTAATGTGGCTTCTACAGATTCTATGTATCATGAGACATGATCATATTTGAGCAAACTCAGTTATATATCTGAGACTTGTGGTGCTTATAGAATAGACTGAGAAGCTGTCCTCAGTTTGGACAGAAGTCACTGCAGACAGGTGAACCCCTGATATGGAAGATAGGGCAGTGTTTTTTTTACTAATATAATAATCATGTGTTGCAATTTTTCCTTCTAGGAGACAGAGCTGCTCGATATCAGTCTTGTCAAAGATGCCAGATGTGGAAAACATGCCAGAGCTCCCAAGGTAGGCATTTCTGCTGTATGACTACCTGTTGCATTGATTACCTAGGTAAAACAGAATGTGAATTACATGCAAGATTTTTTTTAAAAACACTCCTTTGGATAATAAGAAATGTTTTGTCTTTGCTTCATTTATCGTAGCTGCTGATGAGAAGTGTTGTGATGGTTGTGCTATTGTTACTGATGCTGTATTTAGAATGCTGATGGAACAGTGGGTGAACAGAACTGCTGGTTTGTCTGGCGCTGTGGTTTAAACTTGCTTAAGTTTCCAGTTTCCCTGATGGCCAGGAGCTGATGGTTGTGCAGCTCCATTTGGTATTGCTTATTTTCTTCCTTGAGTGCCTCTTGAGGACAGAAAGAGGATTTTTTTAATTATTAAACTGTTCTCAGAGAGGTCAGGATATCAGTTCCCTTAGGCCCTCTCTGATACATTGCACACTTATCTGCCATCTTTAAAGACAGTAAGTTGTAGATATGTGTTCTCTGTGGTGTTTTCATTTGGACAGAAGCGACACATAAAAGAGAAAAAAAGGAAAAACAACAGTGGAGTGCACAGCTCTGGAAGCAAGAGTGTGCCTTGGGGCATCGCAGGAATGATGAGGAGAAAAGGAGATCTCTATAGAGTCCTGACAGTATGGCCTTTCTGCTCCTTACCTGCAAGCCTGTGAGCTTGCAACAGCCCAAAGCAATCCTTCTCCTGCCTCCATCCCTGGGAGGAACACGACTAAATCTCTGGTCTGCCAGCTATACCTGAGCCTGCCATTGTGCTCCTTGCACCCAGCCCCAGGCCAGGGGACAGCCCTGCGGGCTCCTCAGCGTGTGAGGTACACCATGGCAGTGGGAAAGGTTGCTTCTTCATGCCAGAATGTAACTGCAGTTATCTCTGAACAGACTATTCACATCTGGTTTGCAGAGTTTTTCATGTAATGTTGGCAGCATTCTAAAGGCTGAGTTATAATTGAAATGCAGCAGAAGTACTTTATGACATCCACATTAATACCAAGTGAGTTCACCATGATTAATGGTTCTACGATGAATAGCAATAAAGTATTAACAATGGCTAGAACATTATTTTAAAATGCTACCCGCTTTACAGAAGACATTCATGTTCTTCTAACAAAATGTTTTTAGCCAAAATTTATGCATAGCTATTGCCTTGGTGACTTTTATTTATTAGGTTATATAAAGGCTGTTTTTGTTGCCACACGTTATGGATTGACAGCAGTGGTGTTAAATGAAGGGTATGAGAAAATCCTGACTTTTAGGGTGGTGAAATGCACCACCTGTATGAATGAGTTTGCTTTTTGTCATAGATTTATGTGTGGGCAGAATGGAAACAGCACCTGGGTTGGCCGCTGATAGAATTTTGCAAGTGATGTGAAGCAAAAGGCTCATTTTGGGGCCAGTTGTGCCTGTTTTGCTTTGAGCTGTGAGGTGAGGCTCAGCAAAAGAGTGAGTGTTATTGAAGCCCTGCTCGTGTCTCATACACAGAAGACACAGCTCATGCAGCAGCAGGAAGGCTTGGCCTTAAGTCAATCACTGGCAGCTTGTGACTGCATGGAGGTTTCTAGGAATAGCTTGGTATAGTGGCTTAAGAGAGCAGCATCACTTCTGTGTGCTACTTGCCAAAGTTCCAGGTTTTAGAGACTCATCCACAGCTGTACTTTCAGATGGAGCAGCCCTGGCACTCAGGTGAGCATAAACACCGAATGATGTTTCTGGGTGATTTCTGTATGTGAAAGCAAAGCTGTCTCCATTAGCATACAAAAAGGTCATTCACGATCTGCTCACCGTACAGTAAAAGTACAGCGTATATGATGATTGTGTTGTAATGATGAATCTGAGCTGTATCCAGCATGGTGGGTCTCTTGGGATCTACTAATACCTGCTGAGCATCTTGCCTTGTGTAAAGTATGGCATCCAGCATAACTTGCAGACAAGGCACAGAGTTTTAGCTGCCAGAAACAAATACTTCTTGCTGCTGTGGTACCGCTTCACACATTTCATAGCCATCTCAGAAGTTATCTTACATTGTCTGGTGGGATCATCATTGACAGCAGAACTTGCTTCCTTTATTTGCCTTTCCAGATAGAATGGACAGTGTGTTGTTTTGCACTGGCACAGCTTTCACTGTACAAGAGATTTAGGCAATCTTCTATAAATTCCTCTGCCAGCCCCCCACTCTCATACTATTGTACAGTTTTTATACTATGTTAGGGGAGTTCTGCCAGTTTGTGCTGATTTTTCCATCTATTTTCAGAGTTTTAAGAGGGAGTGGATTCCATATGTGGGTTGTCATTAAAAACTTGAGAAGTTCGTGGGAATCTTTCAACCTTATTTAGTGTATTTCTGATACAGTGTTACCTTTTGATAGAAGTGTCATCTTTAATAAGCTTTGACTTTTCTATTAAACATAAAACTAGCAATTCTTTTTTATTTTTCTAGCAAACTAAATTTAGTGTGATTAACAACACTCATAGCAAACTACCTAAACTGTAGAGGTACACTGCATCAGCAGACCATCAGCAAGTAGTGATTTTAAAGGACTATAAGTAGCCCTTGTTACCAAAAATACTTTCTTCCTCTTCACCATCTGGAATATACACTTCTTTGCCATAAGTCACTGTATCCACCAGTGGGAACATTTCTTTGGTTAGCTTCATGAACGCACCAAAGTTTTGTTCTTTTTGATGGCTAGAAACCGGAGTCTGTTCTCATGCTGCGTTCAGGGTACCTACTGTACTGTACAGCTGTTGGCATTGCTAATTTCTGAAAAGCAGAGAAATACAAAGGGTTTTTCAGACTGCTGCTCTTTTAGCCTTGTTGGTTGGCATTTAATTTTCACAATATTTTTCCATAAATCAAGACAAATTTTCTGATCGTTGTGTCTTCTAGTCACTGTGTAAGCAAAACTAAATACTTTTTCATTCTGGAGAAATTTTCCTCAATTAAACAGCCAAATGCTTTATTCTTGTTTAGGAGGCATTGTACTCTGTTTGATCCTATTTCACACTGTTCCTAAATAGTTATAGTTACCCAGGCAGTCAGACTGAAACCTGTTAGAATAGCCCAGCTCTAGATGATGGCCCTGGAGCCAAGGTCATAATCTTAAAAGTGGAGAGTAATGATTATCTGCGCTATCGCATTCAGGGGTCCTGCAATGTATCTGTGGCTGTCGCACTTCAGCTTCTTTTGCTGGAAGGGGGCTTTGTGCTCATCCCTCTAGAACACTCTAGAATCCTTCTAGAAAGCTAGGGAAGGTGAGACAAATCCAGGAAGCTTAAGGAAGTCGCCATCCTGCCTACTTTGGATGCCCAGCTGAAGGAAGTAGAAGGCACAGTGGTTTTACAGCAAAGAAAGTGTGGCATGAAGAGTAACGTATATGTATAATGAAGAGTATATGGAAATAAGCCTCTTACCTAGAAATGTAGTTAGCTAATGATGAAGTGATATCTTTAGTAGGTACCTAAGCACGTAATAGCTGGGGGATGCGAAGGTTGTCCTCCAACCCCTAGATTAATAAATAGTGTACTCAGGTGACCCTTGTGTTACCGAGAAACTTCAACATTACCTTCTTTTTTTCACATCTTGTCAGCGATAAATTCTTCTGTCTTCAGCGGCTGTTTGCAGGAAGAATAACAGTTCTCCATCCCACTGCAGTATACATGCAAAGGCATATTCTTTGGAAGAAGGGCAAATCATAGGCAGTACTGAACACAGCTGCAGATCTCTAAATGTAAAGATAAATGAAAGTAATGGTCTAAAGAGAACCAATTGTGTTTTAGAAAAAAATGCCTGAATTCAATGTACAGTGAAATTTATAAAGTAGTGAGGGAATTATAAGATGATTATCAGAACTTAGTCTTTTTAGTAAGCATTAGAATCATTTAAGAAGGAAGGAAGAGAAATTTTGAGAGTAGGAGATTAATATGCAGTTCATTTCTTCTTTTGGAAGATGTGACCACACACAAATTCAGCAGAGCCTTTTGGAAACACGGCATGCTTTTTGTCACAGGACAACATCAGCAGAGGTAGAGCATCAGGATGCTGAGAGCTCCCATTGTTTGTACTTATAAATGCAGAAGGCCATGTGGAAACCATTAGTTGCGATGAAGCAATTATTTATTTCCTTTTATTCACACATTACCTGGTAGCACTCGCTCCAGCTTTCTTTCCTTTGGTGTGCAGACTAATGAAGACTAGCAATTCCTGTTGTAAAGTTTAATGAAGTGGTCTGCAAAATAAAATAACACAAACACTGCAGAAAAACATATGTTTTTTTACAGTGAGACACACAAGTAGATCTGATCATGCACACAGCTCTATGAGGCATGGACGTGCCACTCAGAAGAATGTCTGTAATCTTAAAATTGAGATGTAGCATTAACCCTTGGTGAAAGGTTAGGCAGGGAAAATGGGTCTGCAGCAGCACGCTCACAGGACTGTGAAATTCACACTTCTTACTATCTTGTATTTACTTTAGCCTGTAACAGTTTCTATGGAAACTAAAATCGTAATGCAGCCGTGCAAGTGTTTTTGGTAGCAAGAAGAAATATCGGGATGGGTTGGCACGAGTGAGGAAATAACCCCATGGCAAATGTTCACATTTAAAACTTTAGATGCGTTTGATCAGTATGTTTTCCCTCAAAAAAATCATAAATCATTCATCAGGAGATAAATTGATTTAAATGACATATGCTCTGAAACCTGCAGGAGAGGAAATTATGAATGATGGGATTGCACTCATGCCAAAATGTTTTCAGTGCACAGTCCCCAGTTTGAAAAACACTCTCTGCTCCCCGGCCCCAAATATTCTCACTGAATAGAGGATACTCTACAGAGGAAAATAATGAAGCCTCCCTAATACAGGAAATTTACCAAAGCCTCAATTACTACAGTACTGTCAGCCTCTGCACGTGGTGGATTTGCCTGAAATCCTGAGCTAGAGTGCAACGACTTCAGGATTACCTCACCTTCAATTTAAAAAATACATGCATCTTCCTC